ACGCAGCGATCGCAGCCGCAGCCCAGCGCCTGCCTCGGCCCCAGCGCCCCGCGGCCGCCGCCGCTCGCCGCTTCCCACACCCACATGCTGGCCCGAGGCCGCTGCCCCGCTCACACAAGGCTTTGTTGTTTCCACCTTTGTGTGTGTGTGTGTGTCTGTGTGTGTGTGTGGAGGGAAGGCGCCACCTGAACGGCGAACGGCAACGATCCGGAGCTCCGCGGTGTAGGGTTAATGATATTAACTCGATATCGCAGCATTTTTATAACGGGATTTTTGTATTCGTACAATGAGGATAATCCCAAAGGAAAGCGCTGCACGTAGGAGTGTAATACACAGATTGTCCTGTTTTCCTTTCTGGGCGGAAAATGGATTCAGGATGCTTGTTAGAAGACAAGACATTTTGAAATTCGTGCCTGTTAGATGAGATTCTTTCAGTCTTATTCCTCGAGATCATGGAATAATTTTGAGAAGGAAGCTCTGTAGTCATCGGTACAGTCCCCTCCTCAGAGCAGGCTGCAGGAATCTGGCAAAGAACAGTTCCCATTTCCACAGTGAAGCGTCGGGTGAGATCTTCTGTAGTGTTTAATTTATTCCAGCAGCTAAGCCAAGATACGGAAGGATCTTTCCAGCCACTCCTCCCAATTTTCCTTACAAAATCTCTTGTTCTGTTCGAAATTCTCGATGCACTGAATAAGCCTCCTCTTTGCGTTTCATGAGTTAAATAGGATGAAAGGTTATGCCTTCAATGTAGAAAGGTTTTAATTTAAACAGTAGAGAAAATATTTAACTCGATGCTATTATAAGCTTTTCTTAGTAGCTTATCAACTTATACCCATCACTCAACAGACAGTGTTGGCACAAATTTGTACCTAATGGAAAAATTCTGCTGGCAAGGGCTGGAGGATTAGAACATCATTTTCTTCAAAACTCGATCTTTTGGGCAGAATTGGAGATTTTTTTTTTTTCTTCTATTTTATTTTTATACTTGTTGCCTCCAACCAACAGTAATTAAAATAGAAGAAAGGTAGACATTGGCATGGCTCTGTAATGGGATAACTCTGACAGTGACCAGATGCTTCAGGGAGGAAATGTATATTCCATCATTTTATATCCAACAGTGTTTTATGTTTGTTGGTTTTTTTTTTTCCTTTAAGTTATCATTGAAAACTTGAAAGGGATCCCAAAATCCTGGAGGATGGAACATTCTGCAGAGGCAGGAGTAAGGGAAGGATACCTGCAGAATTCAGAGTCAGCCCTCTGGGAGATCTGTGGGCTTTCAGGTATTTTCAAAGCCACCCTAAATCAATATTTTTGCTTTTTTTTTTTTTTTCCTATGTCAATTCTTTAGAACTGGAATAGAATCCAAATTACAAAAGGTTAGAAAGGGAGGTTCATTGTGAAGCCAGTTTTTGGGGTCTTTATTTTTTTTTTTTAAAGTGGGTCTACCCAACTGTTTAAGATAAGGACAAGTAACATTTTTTAGATAGTAAATATGGATGTTTAAGTAATTTAATGGCAAACAGAAATAAAAAAAAAAAGGGAAATGATGTGAAAGAACTAATCAAGTATCACACAAGACATAGATTTTTTGGGGCAGAGAGAATTCTGTAAGAAACACCTGAAAAGGGGAGAGGGATTTTTTTAATTCAGTATTTCAGCCTTTGAAATGATGGGAAGATATTGTCAGAAAATAAGGGTAGTTAAGAGGTGAGACATTAATTAGAGGATGATTAATTAGGAACTTTGTCTTCACTCTTGGCTGTGGTTTTATGAACACAAAGTAAACAAAAACCAAGCAGAAATAATCACAGAATTCTTGGAAAAGACTCATAAGATCAAGTCAGGCACTAAGCCTTGTCCCTAAGAGACATAAAGATGAAAGAAATACAAGGAAATAAATAAATTCAGTGGGAACATCCCTGTGTGGTCTTTACTTTCCTCCTTGAAAGGAAAGGAAATGTTCCTTGTGCTGATGAGGGGCACGTGATCCTCACAAAAATATGAAGAAGACAATCAGAGGCAATGGAAGGAGACAAAAAGAAAACAAATACTTTCATTTAGAGGAAAAAAAAAATAAACAAAGAAAATTCATGAGTGTAAAATGAAGGACGTGGAAAACAGAAGGCACTTAACATTTATCTTGTCTTGCAATACAAAAATAAGGAAGCAACGACCAAAATTAAGGCAACAAATGTAAAAATGGCAACTTTTAAAAAACAGAAAAACATCATTGACCTGTGGGAATCGCAGCCTTGAGCTAAACCTCCAAGCTTAATAAGATACTTTAAAAATGATTACAGATATCTAGTTATACTACTGAGAATAACAACATATAAATCCAGAAAAAAAAAAGCCTTTATTTGCCTGGCAAATCAACAATTAATCTGCCTGTATTTAAAAAGTAAAATCTTCCTATGGATAGATTGTTCCATTTGCCCATTTAGAGCCACTTCAGATCTCGTTCTGAAGCATCTGGTCCTCAGCATTGTTAGATTTATGATCTCTAATTAAATTGAGTATTGATCCAAAAATCCCTTTGCTTCTAAAAACACCCCCACTATTAAGAAACACTTAATAGTCTGACCTTTGCAGTTGGCAGTTAAGATTTCAGGCCTGGAGAGAACAATTAATTTTTCCCCTCCCCTTCATCCATCCCCAAACACACACAGAGCAATTCCAGCCACTTTTTATCCTGGGACAGCAGGCACTGATACCTGGGATTTGTTGTCAAACTGTTTAATGGAAAGGGAAAGGGAAACATCTATGAAATTTGAGCAAAGTTACTCCATATCCTTTGAAATATTTCTTGTTCTGTGTATTTGATTTAATCCAGGTTGCTCAGGAATATTTCTCAGCCTTTCATAACAGGCATTTTAGGAGTTTAAAAGCTCCAAGAATTTAAATGTCTGTTTCCACATCAAGTCCATTTTTGGGCTGCTGACCAGGTGTTCCATAAAATTGAGTACAAGTCTTGTTTAAGATGTTTTCATCTGGGTCATCAGAAAGATTTTTAAGTCACCCCTTCCCCAAACCTATGCCAATAAATCATAATTTTTGTAGGAACAATAAACACCATTTCTTGTGTCCTTGGGATGCTTCTCATGGAGAGGAGGATGCTTAATCCTTACACTGAATTTAACATGAAGTTCTTAAATTGTCATTTGTTGGTCAAGTCGGTCACCTGCAGCCTGGAATGAAAATGCTGCACTTTCTGGTCATGATGATAACAAGAAAGTTATACAAGTTTTACACAACTAAAAATAAAATAGTGACTTTTTTAAACTGTCCCTGGGAAAGATTATATAGTATATATATATATATATATATATATATGTATATGGGATTGTTGTGTAAGAAACCCTGGGGTTCAGCCAAACATGCTTACAAAGCTGTAAAAAAAGAAAACAAAAAATAGAATTTTCTAAGTCTACAGCCATTGAGTCCCATGATCCCAAGACTTGGAATAACTCAGATCTGTCCAAGGAATGCAGAGCAGCAGGACCCCAGGAGCATCTCCTGCTCCTCTCCTGTTGACAGTACTGGGTAAGAGAAACTCACTAAGCAACAAAACCAAGTAGAAATAAAATTTTTTCATCATTACTCATCTCTGTAGCCTAATTGTAGGTGAAATGACACAAATGTGGTGTCTAGAGCTTCCAGTACATCTTGGTTTCACTGGGACAGATTGGAAAAGCTGCACAGAATTCAATATCCTGAGCTGGAGGGGACCCACAAGGAACATCCAAGTCCAACTCCTGGCCCTGCACCCCAACAATCCCACCACGTCTGGGCACTTTGGAGAGGTTTCAAAATATGAAAGAAAGAGTATTTTAATAGTGCTTATTAAAACAGCCCAGTCTGAGATCCTAATTTTGAGACTAAACCAACTACCGGCATCAATTAATGATCCAAATTTTTAATTTTAATGTGTTAAGCATTTATGTGCTTATTTCCTTTTAAAGAAATAGGTCTTGAGCATATGAGCAACTAAAGATTCACCTCATCCTAATACATTTTACAGAAGTCCTTTTCTAGACAAAAGTGCCAAAACATTTTAAATGCTCTTTCTTAATTAGCTGCCTTCTTCCTTATCATAACATGAAGATTTAATGAAATTTCATGGAAGATTCTCTTCACTTCTGACCACTCAAAAGAGGTTGTCTGGTGTGGAGGGGTCTTTAATGATATAAACTCCACCTCTCCACAAATGTAAAAAATGGGCAATTTACAATAATCTGCGACTTTTTTGAAGTATTTCAACCTCACTCCCTTGCAAGAGGCTTTGAGATGTGCCCCCATTGCCTGCTATAAAAATTAACCATGTAATGCTGCAGTTTCCTTGTTTATCCAATATTTCAGGATGGGATTTTTTTTTTTTTTTTTTAACCAAAACAACTTCACGGGGGTTCTGCTAAACAAAGCAGCACGGCCTCAATGACGTGTCCATAAAACACATGCAAGTCTGAGCCTGTTCAACCACGTGTCTCTGCAGGAGGCAGATTTCCTCCCAACACATTCTCCCTCTTCCACGGAATTCCCAATCCTTGATTTCCAACTACCTAATATTTGGTTTCACTTCCTTCTCCTCTGCTTCATCTTCGCTATCATCCACTTGCTGGATGACCAAATCGGTCGAGCCGTCCTCCACGATCTCCACGTCAGATTTGTTGTCCTCGCCGTAGTGCCACCTGGAATCCTTGTCCCCATCCTGTGGGAACTCCAGAGGTGCCTCAGCCTCCAAGTCAATGCGGATGCTGTCGATGCCAGCCTCTGCCAGGCACTCGTTGCAGAGTCTGTAACGTCGGGTCCCCTCCTGCACCACTTGTCCCGTCAGCTCCGTCACGTGCCGCTTGCATTTCCTGCAGATGGGCTTGCACGCCTGGTGGATCTGGGAAAAAAAAAAAATCCGAAGGGATGGGTTTGTAAATATCCACAAAGGGGAAATGACAAAAAGCAGCGTCGAGTTGCAGCGTTGCCTCAAGTTGAGAGGTGTCAAACACTGAACTGCACCAGTTTTTGTGGGCACAGTAATTGCCCGCTGGGGCTGTCAAAGGCTGCAGAGGGCAGAACTCTGCAAACCATCAATTACCCGACAAATTCCACCCTTTTCCTGCAAATTATCCTTCAAATTATCCTTCAAATTATCCTTCAAATTATCCTTCAAATTATCCTTCAAATTATCCTTCAAATTATCCTTCAAATTATCCTGCAACCAAACCCAATTAATTCTTCTATTCCCCTCTCCTTTCCACGAGTCACTAGATCAACCAGATACACTCACACCGTGTTTAATTAGCCAGATTTACACGTTAAATAAATCATGGCAGTTGCTAAAAATACTCACAGTTCGAAAATGGCTGCTGAGGTGATCCAGCCTGCTGAATCTCTTCCCACAAGCCTCGCAGGGGTACGGCCTCTCTCCCGTGTGACAGCGAAGGTGACGTTTCAGGTCAGCTTTTCTCTTCACCACGTGGCTGCAGAATGGACACTTGAACCTCATCCTGGCCAGGTCATCTGTCAGAAAATAACGGGATTTAAAAAAAAAAAAAAAATAAAAATTCAAAGTCACGTCATGTAATGCTCTAGGAAAAGGTGTTTTATGAGAATAGCGCGTCGCTTTTATTAAAATCGTATTCAGAGGTTGTTTCAAGCATAAAGATTTTGTAGATTAGACAGGAGTGCAACAAAGGAGGAGTGGACCATTGGCTGTGTTAGCAAAGCCAGATTGGAGCAACCTGGGATAATGGGAGATCTCCCTGCTCATGGCAGAGACTGGAACAAAATGAGCTTTAAGGTCCTTTCCGACCTTTCCATTCTGTGATTTCATGAAAATGAGCTTAAAAATATCCCAGTTTATATTTATTTTTAAATCTAATACCCCAGGTACTTCAAGAACTCTAAATCATTTAAAAATCAAGGCTTAAACTTTCCAAACATATATTCCTGAGCAATACATTTGTCTTTTTGGCAGTTGTGCTTTACTATTGAGTAAGACCTATTTTCTCAGGGCCAGAGGAGAGGATTCCCAGCAGCACAAAACCCCACTCACCTTCAGCCCAGCTCCCCATGACTCCCAGGATGGAGGGCATGTTCCCATACTGCTCCTCAGCTTTGGAGGACTTGGATTTACTGGAGGAGCGGGGTGACTCGTGCTCCTGCTGTGGCACAGCCAAGCCCCTGGGCATCACCTCAGCCCCTTGGCCGAACTGGTAGCCCACGTGAGGAGTTTCAACCTCGGTGTCGATGTGGACTTGCTCCTCGGCTGGCGCAGGGTGGCCAGAGGGCTCGGCAGCCCTGTCCTCCAGCTTGCTTGATTTATAGTGGGGCATGTCAGAAGGTTGCTGCAGCCCCAAGTGCCGGGATTTCTTGATGGAATCTTGCCTCTGCTCGTGTTTGGACAGCTGCTGCTGGGCATTTCTTTGAGAGGTGGGGTAATAGTTGAAATTGCTCCAAGCGTTCCCGCCCATCATACAAGTCCCGGGGTCTGGGCTGGAGTGGGAATGTGGGGGGCTGCTCTCTGCCCTCCAGCCTCCACTGTACACACAGGATCGGTCCACACCGTTGGAACTCACATCTTTGTCTGACAGGCTGAAGTAGCGATCCTTCTCCTTCTCACTGATGTCCAGTGACGACTTTATGAAGGTTTTACACACGCTGATCACATCTGTCATCTGCAGATAGCTGGCAGCTGACATGACTTCGATGACATTCTGACCAGTGAGGGACAGTTTGCCCGAATACACAAAATCTAGAATAACTGTGAAGGTGTCAGGAGAAAAGGCCTGGAAAGTGGCTGTCGTGGATTGACTCGTTTCCTTCGAGCTCTGCGAAAGGAGCATTTTGAAGTAGCCACTGCTGGCGAACAGCACATTGCGATGGGCTTTGAAGACCTTGCCCTCCACCAGGAT